AAAACAAGTTTTTCTGTTAAAGAAACAAAAATTAAAACAAATCAACTGGACTTGCAGTTAACGAGTCCTTTTGTCGTGTGATAATTTATGTTGCGTATCATTTTTGCATCAAGGCACTTTTTATTTTGTACTTGTTTAAAAAGTATTTTTCATAAACAATGCACTGAAGCTTTATTTTGAAGGACATCATAAATTACTTGTTCAACACATTTTGTTTCACAAGACATTAAATCAACATTACATGACAAATATTGAAATTACAACGGCATTTTTTTTAATTCTTGCCTCAAACATCAACTTGGTGCTGATTGAAATGTCCTTTGTAAAGACAAAAGAGACACATTGTGCACAATTATTATTTTTTTTTTACAAATATACATATTGTTTGTAGACTGGTTTGACAAGTGTTCGTATCGATTGTGTCAATTCTAGTTAATTTAGTCCCTTTGAAGAAAAAGGCCAACAAGCTGTAATTACGGCTGTATGAAAGTGCAACGGCTCCTTTTCTTGTAATTCTCCGTCTCACTGCTGAAAAGTTGTCCAAGTTTTATGTATCAATCTACAGTTGCAAACATCTCATCTGTTACCTCCAGACTGTGCTCTGAAATAAGGTCCACACAAATACTGAAGACATGGAAACTCTTTGAACACTCAGTTTTCCAGGCAGGCTTCCGCTTTATTTCAGTCACCGTGGTGCAGGTGGTCCCTCGCTCCGTACAGGTGAGGCACTGCGTGCACGATGGATGGACGGCCATGACGACTTCTGGAGCTGTGCACCGGACATATCCTGTGGTTTTCAGTCCCAAAATCCATTCTCAGTCTTTCAGGGCAACCATCAACTTTGATCACTGAATCCACGAAGTGCAGCAATGACTCCAGGATCAGGATTTGTTTTGTAGGCTTCAAGCCATGTGAGGCTTCTGGAAAAGTCATCATCTTATTCCAATTCCAAAAGGCTTCAGCTTATCATATCCATCAATATGCCAAATGTAGTTGGGAACACAAACGACCGTGATAAATCCTTCTCCTCAGTCGATTTCTTGATGTCAGGTCTACTCCTTCATGATCTAGTAGCCGTAAAAGAAGTCGAGCTGTCTGTCACAATGACGTTTATCCAACTTTTTGGTGCATCCTTCTATACCCATGACATTGTCCGAAGGTTTCAAGTTGCTGCTGGATAAAAGTTTATATCTAATTAAGTCAGGTCATCTGGACAGATTCTTCTGCTGCAGAAGACTTAACCTTGTTCGATTTTTCTACCTGGATTATTGAGCATGCGTCAGGATAAAAGTTGACACGTCTGCTAAATCTGTTTTGTTCTTTCGACGCCAAAGTTTTTTCTTACTTAAAATCCTTTCCAATGTTCTTTTGCTTAGAACAAGTCCATGTACTTCAGCCAGTAAAACAAGGATTTCATCATTAGTCACTCTGAAATACTCCTCAATGTGCTGACAATCCATTCCAAGTGATCCGAAAAACCTTCTACAAAATGTTAAATAGAGCTAACGTCTGTGCCTTATCCTTAAATGTGAAAGCATGTCGACATTAGGAAGTCAAAACATATGAAGTTATCCAACATTTTTCAGTCAGGTCATCTGGGCAGGTTCTTTTTTTTGTGCTGAAACGTTTCGCCTTCGATCCAGAAGGCTTCATCAGTCAAGGAAACACATAACAAAACTGATTCTTCCCCAACAGCTTACAACATGTGAATTTATCTAATAATTAGGACTTTGAAAGTTGAAATTATGACTTTCCATTCATCCATCCATCCATCATCTTTACCCGCTTCTTCCTTTTCGGGTCACGGGGGTTAGAGGTGCATGTCCAGCCATCACTCTGTGAGAGGCGGGGGACACCCTGGACAATCCAGTCCATCACCGGGACACAGAGACAAACAACCATTCACTCTCTCACTCACACCTAGAGACCATTTAGAGTTACCAATCAGCCTAACGTGCATTTGTTTGGTCTGTGGGAGGAAACTGGAGCACTGTACCCATGCATGCATAGAAAGAACATACAAACTCCACCCAGGAAGGTCTCGGGCTGGGATTTGAACCCATGACCTTCTTGCTGAGAGGCTACAGCTCTACCAACTGTGCTGCAATATTAGAACTTTATATCTCAAAATTTTGACTTTTAAAGTCAAAGTTACGATTTTGTATCTCCTAATAATAATAACTTTGAAAGTCGAAGTTTTGACTTTGTATTTCATAATTATAGCTTTGAATGAATTCCTGTGGCACATTTGTCGTTTTATTTCTTTCCATTGGCGGAAACGGGCTTCCAAAATAATGTCTTTGTTTTCCATCTGCATAAAAAATGAGCTTCATTACAAACTACTGCCGGAGTGTGACGTCACTCCGCTTTTGTTTTGAAAATCTAAAAGGACCGGATGTGCAACCGGAAGTGTCTCCGTCAACTTGCTGTTTCTGTTTAAGGCTCGAAGCTAGCTGCAGTTCGGACGGAACCAGAATAAAAGAAGTGAGTAGTGGACCGCAGGTGTTACGGGTTTTAATCAGTATTTACACAGTTATTAACCTAATGATGATCTTAATATTCGCGGGACACAGAAACAGGAAATGAACAAATAAAAGCTGTTAGCAAGAAGGAGCTGGTTTAAACTATTTCAAAGTTTCGGTTTCAGCCGCCGTGACGTGTGCGATCTTTGACTCTTTATTTTGTCTTTAACACACTTTACCTAACAAATGACATGACTATATCATTATAGTGTGTTTTTAAACTTTACACGAGCAGCTCTGTCACGGATTAAAACTCATCTGTTCACATCTGAAGCTAAAACTAATCTGGACTTTCGCCTGTTTACGACCTAAATGTTGAAAAGTCACTTCCTGTTGTCCGCACACAAACATGCCCGTTGAGCTTATGATGTTTACTAATTTGATATTTAAAGTTAATCTTTTGAAGTGGTGTGCCAGCACTTCAGATAAAACCCAGTGAAAGTAGAGCTTTCATTTTACCTTTTGATGTGAAACATCAGATTTATAACAAGTCAAGAAACCTTTGGGTTTAAATATTTGTCACGTGTACTGCTCACCAAACAATTAAAACTTGAACCCGACCAGATAAGAAGGCCTCACCCTGTTTCCTCATTACAGAGGTCACAATTAATCATGATGTCCTTAATGCTCCTGTGCACTGGAAATATTAACTTCATCCCTGCTGGTTATACTGGGCTGTGCACAAAAACAGTCTGCATCTTTCCATGGTAGTCTCATTTTAATAGAGAGAAAAACGTTCAAATTACACAACATACAAGTTGCACATTGATTGTTAATCATCAAGTGAAATAAGTATTTGATCTTAAAGTAAAACGTCTTTTACAGATGTTCTTTGTGATTAAGTTCTGGAGACTGGCTAGACCGCTTTAGTTCTTCTTTAGCTGTTCCAGTGTAGCTGTGGTTTCACTTCTCTCTTGTCCATGATGAGCCTCACCCCGTGATTTTGCACGTAGCTCCAGATAAATTCTGTTGTTTTCATTTCTGGATAATCACAGTTGTCACATTCTCACCAAACTTCTTGCTGATCGTCTTGGAGCCCATTCCAGCCTTATACAGAGCTGCCATCTTGTCCCGTACATGCTTTGGTGTTCTTTGGTCTTGCCCACGGTGGTGGAGAGGTGGGCTTCATGCACACATAACCAACTCCGGGTCTGCAGTGAACCGTGCATGTTGCTTCTGTCCTTCCTTCAGCTTGTCCTTTCTGCAGAAGTTGCCGCCGCAACTCGCACGGACGATCTGGCAATTGTTTTATGATGGGTGCCCCTCCTGAAACAGCTGGACTCTAACCTGCAACCTTAGGTTCACAAGACTGCGGCACAGACCGCTAAACTACCGTGTTTCTGAAAACATGCAAAAATATAAACATTTAAATTATTTTATACATAAAAGAAAAATTACAAATTAACTGCATAAAAGAAACGAGGCTTTAAATAATGCTCAATATTTAATTCTGACTCGTGAATAGAAAAACTGAGATGGGGGGGGGGGGGGGTGATGCTATGAATTAAATATAAACTATTTCCAGTTGTAATTTTGGGAAACTGTTATTTTTTTACCTGGATTCATTTAATTTTTGTTGACTACCCCAAACGTCAGTCCTTAAGATCCCAGTCGAAGAGACTGTGACCCCAACAATCACCAGCATGTGTAATTATCTCTAAGTTTTTTAAAGTTTGAGCCGTTTTGGTCAAACCTTCTAAATGTTGTTAGGCCTTCACGATGTTGTGAGATATCTCAAAGTGTGTTTGTGCTCAGAGCGGAACTCAAAGTCGTTCTCACTTGTGAGAAGCTGGAGCTGTGGGTGGTTTGTATTTAACCTCTGTTTTTCTGACAGCGATGAGCAGCAGTCCTGCATCTGTCCAGATGGACGAGGTCAGGCAGAGAGCCCAGCTGCTGCTCACGTCGTCGGGCTCAGCTCAGGATGTGAAGGCTGATGTTCAGACCATGGCCTCCATAGCGCTGCCCTTTTCAGAGAAATATCGTCACCTGACCGCAGAGGCCATGCTGAAGGAGAACACAGCGGGTCGCAGCAGACAAGAGGTACTTTTCTGTCTCAGTGGAGTGATCCTGCTTCGTACGGGCTTCCTTAACACCGCTCTGCACCTTCCTCACTGCAGCCGGGAATTACTGGAGTGTCTCATAAACTCCAAAAAGACATCTCAGCATAAAAACATTTGGGTCTAAAACTGGCATGAAAGACTTGAGGTCAATCTTCAAAGAAGGTTTTTCTTCTAAATTGTGCAACACCAAGTGATAATGAACAAACTTTACAGGTAAAAGTCGAGGATCACGTGTATTTTAATGGCACGTGTTGTAAATATGGCACAAAAGTAATAAAAGTAAAATAATGAAATGCACCAGACGTATTGTAATCTCAGCGTCTGCACCGTGTGAGTGATTTCACTTTGCTTTTCTCCCTTTTACATTTTTGCGTCACTTTTTCTTTCACTTTGACTTTTAATAAACGGGTTTGTGTGGATTGTTGTTGGGAACCATTACAATTCCTCCAGTGCTGGATGAACCCAGCTGCTAATAAAAAACAAGTCGACTTGTTTTTAATTCGTGCTGGTTGCTCAGCGGACTAATGATAAAGTGTTACTGTAAACTATTAATGCGTTGAAACATTAATAAATCCTGGATTTGTTTGTAAACCAGCACCATGTAGTCGTGTTCTCTGCTTCAGGCTCTGGATTCTTTAAGTAAACTGGTGAAAGCCTTGAGTATCTTGGAGAAGTACGGCTGCAACCTGACCAGTCCCACCAGGCCCAGATACTGGAGGAGCGTCAAGCACAACAACCCCGTCTTCAGAACCACCGTGGACGCCATCAAGGTGAGAGCAAAACGGCAAGATGTACGTTTTCCAGCAGCTTTGGTTGAGTTTGAGTTAAAGCTAAAACGTTAAATATTTCCCTCCCAGGGAGGTCGCACAGTTTTGTATCTGTACGGTTACACCAACCAGCAGATCGACGGCCTCAGCTTTCCCGATGACGTCACCGAGCCGGATGCTAAAAACGTGGCTGCGGTGACGCTGGAGGTGATGACGCTGCGCTTAGAGGTGGACATGCTGCTAAAGGTTTGATTTAGCCGATTCACATCTGTGTGCAGATGTTTCTGTGAGCATTTCAGCAGATTCCATTTTTTTTATACTTGTTTACGTTCAGGGCATCCATCCTCACCCCGAATCCTTTAAAGACATCATCCCATTTCCCATCCAGGTGTGTATTCATATAAAACCGTGTCAGCAAAACAAAACTGTTGTTAAAGAAATAAATAAATAGGGGGAAGGTTTTATTTGTTTTTGGATTTTTGTAAATTGCCAGTAAAGTCCTAAATGATGTAACACTGACTGTGTCACAGGTTACACGTCATGATGTGTTGTTATTTAAACATTAAAACTGATTTTCACATTAAAAGCCGAACCTGAAGCATGTGCTTTATGTAGACTGTGCTCGTTGTGACTGAGCTCGTATCGTTCCATCTGGAAAGTTTAGTTATTATCTTTTCTTTTTTCCAGAACGAGGCAGACTCTGTGGTAAATGTGCCTGCAGACAAGGGTCAGGGAGAAAAAGCTCACATCCCTCCTCCTCCTCCGACTAAACCTTCTCCGATGCCAAGAACAAAACTTCCAAAACCTTCAGCAGGTGAGCTGCTGACCACTGCAGTTCTGTTTCAGCTGCTGCTTAGAAATGCTTGAAAGACACAGCTGGTTGCACAAAATGCAACTTTCAGAGACGGGCTGAAAAGTTCATGTAGGCGCAGGAATCTGCACTGTAAGAAACTGGTGTCGTCTGTAAAAAGACCAGCTCGCACTGAAAAACCAGCGCGCACGTCCTCTCTGCCTCGGTAAATGTTTTTAATCACAACTGCTCCCCTTTGGTACAAATAACAGAAAAGGTGTGGAAAAGTAAACCAAGTAAATAATAAATGAATGAATTAAAACAATAATTCTCCTGAACACCAACGACATCACAAGTTACTGGCATGAACAGTTTGACGCGTCACTCAAACCAGTTTCTGCAGAACAGCTCGACTGGAGTTTCCTCTTTCTTTGGAATCCAAACCGTTTCATTTGTGCGTCTCCTCCATCGATGGCGCCAGGTTTGGCTTTTCAAACCAGCTTGTCTGAATGTTTGTGAAGAATTCTCTACTGCGATCCATTTTTCTTCCGTACGGTTTCTGCATCTTTTCTTGTTTGGTTTTGGTGCAGCTTTCGCTTTGTGGAATATTTAGCCTTTTATTTCTCATAGAACAATGAACTGAGCTCATTTTACATCTTTTAAATCTTTAGATCTGTTCACAACCTTTTACTGCTCCTTTCACATTTTATTCTGGTTCAGCTTCTTCCAGCTTCCTTGTGCAATAAAAAAAAAATTCAGCTACTTTCGGCTAATTCCAGTTGTTTTTTTCAGCTGTTTTGTGCTCCCTTCAGATTCTTTCAGCTAACTACAATGTTTTTGTACGTCTTCTAACTTCTTTCTGTTAATTTCAGCTTGTTACGCTTCTTTCAGATTACTTCTGCAAGTTTCAGCTTTTTCTGCTAGTTCTACCCTTTCAACTAAGTTTTGAACATTTTTAGCTAATTTCAGCTGTTTTCAGATGCATTCAAGTTTTTCGTGGTAATTTTTCTTCTTTCAGCCAGTTAACTTCTTTATGGGAATCTTCAATTCAAACTTTATTTAGACAGATAAATCACATTGAGCCTCCAAGATTTTTACAAGTGAGATCTGTTTAGACAGACAAAAATTAACCTTATGTTCCTTTCAGATTTTTTCGGCTAGTTTCAGCTTTATCTGATGTTTCAGCTACTATTTAGCTGCTTTATGCTAATTTTAGCTTTTTCAGCTGCAGTAATTCATCCTTTTTAGAGCTCATTTAAGCTCTTTCCACTTTCTTCTGGTAAAATAAGCTTCTTTCTGCCTTTTCATCTAATTTTCAGTTATTTTTTTTTGCTAATTTCAGCTTTTTTAAACCCAATTCAGCAAATATTTGCTCTTTCTGCTTTTTCCTGCTATTTTAGGCTTGTTCTTCCATTTCAGCTACATTTCAGCAGCTAATTTCAGCTGTTTTTCAGCATGTTCTACAGCAATAAGCATTCACACTCTGGTTTATGATTTATCTCTTGATGACTGTTTTTATGAGTTGACAAACTTCTTGTATCTTCTGTAAATTCACATTTAGAATAAATTTGGTTGACCGTACATGATAACTTGGACTGTTTTCTTCTGTCTTCAGTACCCCCACCAGTGAGTGTGTGTAACCTGTGTGGTGGCGCTTCGTCTTTTGTCTGTCCATCTTGTGACAGTCAGCATTTCTGCGACGCATGTGATGACCTCTTTCATCGCCATCCGTCCAGAGCCAATCACAAGAGAGACAAAATGCACCAACCCAAACAGGGTACAACAAACAAACCGAACAAGTGTTTTAGCTCATGGTTTTACTGTTTCTGATCTGGAAGTGTGTGATGCTGCTTTCTCAGACCACAGGCCTGTTGTGTTTGACACGCCGCTCGTCTGTCACTCAGTCAAACCTCGTGCAGCCCTGTCGGGTCATTAACTCCTCCACTGCTGCTCAGTTCTCTGCAGCTTTTAGTTCTGCCATCAGATCCAGGGATCATGTGGGTCCTAGTTCAGATGTTGAGGCTCTCTCCTCATTTTAACTCAACTTGTCAGACTGTTTTAGATGCTGTGGCTCCATTAAAGATAAGAACCTCCAGACCGAAGCCTGACCCCTGGACTGATGATGTCACACGTGCTGCCAGACACCAGTGCAGGAGAGCAGAGTGAAAATGGAAGGACAAGTGACAGGTGTCTTTCCAAGCACAGAAGGACAGCTGGCGTTTCTCAGTCCACTGTTAGAGCTGCAAAAAACAAATATTTCTCTGACATCATTTCCACCAACTCTAACAATCCACGTGTGCTTTTTAAAACCATCGTCTCTGTTCTTAATGCCCCACAATGAGCCAGCCCGGAGAACTCCACTGGAGTGTGTGAGAACTTCCTGAGATTTTTCACCAACAAGGTTGCAAACATTAGATCTCTCATAAGCCCTCCTTCTTGTGACTCCTCCATCTCTGTCACTCGCTCTGCTGTTTTCAGTCAGTTTGAGCTCGTCACCCTGCCTTTTTTAAAAGACATCACTGGTCGTATGAAATCTGCTGGATCTCCAAACGATCCCATCCCACCTCGTCTTTTTAAAGAGGTTTTTCACACGGTGGCTCCTTTTCTGTCCCAGATCATAAATGGTAGCTTGGCAAGTGGGCAGGTACCTGCGAGTTTTAAACATGCAGTTGTGACACGACTGATTAAAAAACCCGGACTTGACTACAGACATGTCCAATGTTAGGCCTATTTCTAAACTGCCCTTTGTGTCAAAGATCTTGGAGAAAATAGTTTACAGTCAGTTAACATCTTACTTAAACAACCACAACCTTCTTGAGCTGTTTCAATCCGGTTTTAAAACTCACCACGGTACTGAGTCGGCACTGTTGAAAGTTTTTAACGACATTCTCTTAGCCACAGACTCTGGTCACTGTGTAGTTTTGATGCTGCTGGACCTAACTGATGCCTTCGACACAGTGGACCGTCAGATCCTCCTGTCTCGTCTGGAGACCTGGGTGGGCATTCAGGGTCCTGCTCTACAGTGGTTTAGATCCTATTTAACAGAGAGAAGCTTTTGTGTGCGTTTTGGTTCTGTGGAGTCCTCTGTAGCACCTCTCACATGTGGAGTACCTCAGGGATCTATACTTGGGCCCCTTCTGTTTTCCCTGTATTTACTAACTCTGGGATATATTCTCCGGAAACATGGTATTTCTTTTCATTTTTTGCGCCGATGACCGCCAAATCTATGTTCCTTTGAAACAAGATAAACAATACTCCTTGAACCAACTTCTGGATTGTATGACAGAAGTCAGAGCATGGATGTCACAGAACTTTTTATATTTTAATGAGAAAAAGACTGAGGTCTTTTTGTTTAAGCCTAGTGATGGTTCCAAAGTCCATGTTGATCTGGGTCCTTTAACCAAACATCTGACTGAGACAGCAACCAACCTGGGTGTGAGGCTGGACAATGATTTTAAACTGGATGCTCAGATTAAATCTGTGGTCAAGTCCAGCTGTTATCACCTGAGACAACTGGCCAAGGTGAAACCATTCCTGTCACAACATCATTTTGAGATTTTAATCCATGCTTTCATCACAACTCGCCTGGATTATTGAAATTCACTTTATGTGGGTCTGAGCCAGTCGTTACTGACTCGACTTCAGCTGGTTCAGAACGCCGCTGCTCATCTTTTAACTGGCACCAGAAAACGAGAGCACATCACCCCCGTCTTAAAATCACTACACTGGCTCCCAGTTCGTTTCCGAATTAATTTTAAGGTTCTTTCGTTTGTATTCAAATGTCTTCATGGTCTCGCCCCACAGTACCTGTCCGACCTTCTCCAGCTGTACATTCCCTCACGCTCTCTCAGATCAGCTGATCAGCTGCTGTTGGCCGTCCCAAAGTCCATCAGGAGCTGAGAGGTGACCGAGCGTTCTCAGTCGCTGCCCCTGAACTGTGGAACGAGCTGCCTCTGCACGTCAGACAAGCTGACTCACTTCCTGCTTTTAAATCTGCTCTGAAGACTCATTTTTTCTCTTTGGCTTTTAACGCAGCTTGAAATGTTGGTTTTACTGTTTTATGTTATTTGTTTTATTGTTGTTACTGTTTGCTGCTTTATGATTTGGTAGTTCATTACTTTTATGGTATTTGTTGAGTTCATAGTTTTTATGCTTGTATGTGTTAGTGTACAGCACTTTGGCCAACGGTGTTGTTTTAAAGTGCTTTATAAATAAAGTTGTATCGTGTTGTTTATTTTATGTTGTATTTTGGTTCTTAACCTGTCCTCTCTGAATCTTCTGCACCGTTTGCAGAGACCTGCACCATCTGTGGCATTTCTGCCGTCCACTCTCAGTGCCCCACCTGCATCCAGAAGTTGTGCTTGAACTGCGACCGGCTCTTCCACTCTCACCCTGACCGTAAAGGACACAACAGGACCATTATCACACCAGCAGGAACTAAAACACCCAGGTGAGGAGAACAAACCTCATCCACAGCTTCGCGTCTGTCCGAGTTGTAAAGGCTGCAAGTTTCCACTTGTTTTTCCTGTTCTTCCAGTGTGTGTCAGACGTCGTGGGAGTGCTCTCACTGCACTACAGTGAACGAGATGCGAGCCGTTCTCTGCACAACCTGTGAACGTCCTCGACTCGCCACATCTGCAGCTCCAGACAGCTCCGTGTCGGTTCCCATGTCACCAAATTCAGGTCAGTTTCATAAACGGCAGTCTAAAAACTAACTCGTGGAGAAGGAGAACAAACTACGTACAGTAGATGTGAAGACATCTTTAAATGTGTTTTGTGTATTGGAAAAACGGTTTTGTGTTGATTATTTTAGAGCCCGACCGATATGGAAATTTTGGCTATCACCAATATCAATACTGGGAGAGAAAGGGTTATTCTGATAACTGATGTACTGGCTGTAAATTTTTGAGTTTTGTCCACCCACAAGAATCTTAAGATACTTTTCAACCTGTTTCAACACGAAGTCTTGAAACATTCTCTTTTGGTAGATAAATAAAGATTTCAGACAAACGATGCATTTCAGTGAGGACAAAGATAATGTTACTAACTCTGATTGATATTTACCTCTACGTTACATTTATTGTTCTGGGTAAAGTTTTACACAAGGCAAGGCAATAGCTTATGCTAGGTTATTTACACCTGTGGTTCTTTCAAACTGGGGTCCCTGGACCCCCAGGGGTCCGTGAGCCAGTGCTTTAAAAAAAAAAATCCAAGCACGTAGATGTTTAACAACCTGTTAAAATACACCAAAATGCAGGAAATCACATCTGCTTTATTCAAAATTTTCTGGGCGAGGACACCCAGACCTAGGCCTGTCGCGATAAACAATAAATCAATTAATCGCATGATAACTGAAAATTATCCACCTTATTATCATTTATCGGCTTTATCGTTTCTTCGTGTCTCTCTCTTTCTACTGAAGACACTGGATGACAAAAGGTTCAACTCCGGTGCTCTTCACTGACCCCTCCCTTTCTCTTTTCTCTTTAAAATCAATTTTAACCGTCTAAAATTGTGTTTTTGGATCGTTAACAGCAGCTAAGCTGAGAAGCTAAGCTACGAGCTAAGCTAACAGGCCGACCTCGGGGGAAAAACCCTCCGTCTTGTTCAAGCTCCAAAATTCACAGTTGAAATCCGTGCCTTTGTGTAAAATGTTTTTTTTTTCTGCAAATATAAGCTGAGAACTTGTTTACTGATTTTTTTATTATTATTATTAAAAGCTTTGTGTGAAAAATGCTATGCTAAAGAGCTCAAAACACACCGAGCGTCCGTCATTTTGAGAACCAAAGAGAGACAGCCCATGCCACGTCAAGGGGCCTCCCTCCCATTTTCCTTCAAGAGACTCGCTGCTCGCTCCCTCACTATCCATCCTTCGGTTCAAACAGTGTTTTACTGCCATCTGGTGGTCAAACACGGTACTACATGCAAAACAAATTAAACATTTATTCTTAAATTTGACAATAATGACTAATTATTGTCAAATTTCAAGCGATATTATCGTTTATCGCAATAATTTCTGAGACTTTTAATCGCCCAGCAGAATTTGTTATCGTGACAGGCCTTCCCAGACTCCCCCATTTATGTTCCGTCATCGATCTGTTTACAGGTTTAGCTCTGTTACTTGTTCTGACTTCTGCCGTTCAGTTTGATGTAAAGAGTTTTCTGTGATCATTTAAAGACGTAACAATACATTTTGTTCAATAAGTGAACAGGTAAAGTTTTAAAGTGTTTTTTGATGCCGTTAATTTAAAAAAAAAACTGTAATTTTTGCAAGTTGAATTTAAAAATGTTCTTAATTAATTGTCTTGAAAGATAAATACCCCATGTTTAAAAGTATTAACACTATTAAAGAACAGGTCTTAAGTGTTTCTGTTCCACACATGTTTCCATCACAGTAAAGAGACAAACTGAAGAACATTATTTAATAAACACGAGGGTTATGAGGGGGTCCCTGAAACTTCTTCTCCCCTGGACCTGAACCCAAAAACTTTGAGAACCCCTGCAAATATTAAGCTTGCTAACTTGAGAGGCACGTGGCTAATGACAGGCAGGTTGGAGGATTGAAGATACTTTATTATTGTTGTTGTTGATTTGTTTTAAACTTGCCATGCTCTGTTCAGTAACATGCACTGCACAGTATTGCTCACTGCTTTTAGTTTGTTCTGAGAGTCAAATGTGCAGCAGGGGCATGACTTCAGTCTTCAAGCTCCCTCTGCTGGATACGTTGTACATTTATGTCTGGGTCCAGCATTTCAGAGGTGAAATTAGAAGTTTATATCGGTGCATAATGGGCCAGTCATCACAGAGGTGTCCCCACACGCCTATATCGGTCTAAAGTATCGGCCCTACTGACACATTGGTCGGGCTCTAGAGTTTTTACTGGGTTGTGACCTTTAACCCCTCAGATTGGCAGTGCAAGAGCTGCACGGTGGTGAATCAGGGCAGCAGCATCCTCTGTGAGGTCTGTGAGCGCCCTCGCCTGGCCACTCGCCCACCTGTCGTCGCAAGTCCAGGATCTGGGTCCGACTCTGCAGAAAAGGTCCGTCACTGCTGCTAATACAGATTTTTGATCTTCTCAGTGTTTACCTGCTGACTGATTCGTCTCACAGATGTTCTTGTTTCATGAAAGACTGAACTGAAAATGAGACGGCATTTGTTTTTAATGTCAGTGTTCAGTGTGGAGATAATTCATATCGAAGTGTAATTCTTAGTTTGCGTGTTTGTAACAGCAAAATATCACCTACTAGAAAAAAATCTATAAATCAACCTTAAGTGATTAAAAATGTTCAAAGTGCTGTTTAGAAGTTGGTTTTTCATAACGATGCAAAACAAATGTACACAATTAAAGGATACTGAATATACTAAATACTATACTGTACTCACATATACTGTACTTAATGCTTTACTAAACTAAATACTATGCTATACTGAATACTATACTATGCTGAATACATACAGTGTGGCAAAAAAGTATTTAGTCAGCTATTGATTGTGCACGTTTTCCTACTTAGAAAGATGAGAGGTGTGTAATTTTCATCACAGGTAAACTTCAACTATGAGACAAAATGAGGAAAAATAATCCAGGAAATGACATTGTAGGATTTTTAAAGAATTTATTTGTAAATTATGGTGGAAAATGAGTATTTGGTCAATAACGATCAAACAAGGTTTCTGGTCCTCACAGATCTGTAACTTCTTCTTCAAGAAGCTCTTCTGTCCTCCACTCGTCACCTGTATTAATGTTTGACCTTCTTATCTGTATAAAAGACACTTGTCCACAGCCTCAAACAGTCAGACTCCAAACTCAACCATGGCCAAGACCAAAGAGCTGTGGAAAGACACCAGGAAGGAGATTGTAGACCTGCACAGGCTGGGAGGAGTGAATCTGCGATAGAGAAGCAGGTTGGTGTGAATAAATCAACTGTGGGAGCAGCTGTAAGAAAATGGAAGACGTACAAGACCATTGATAATCTCCCTCAATCTGGGGCCCCACGCATGCTTTCATCCCATGGGGTGAAAATGAGAACGGTGCGCACAAATCCCAGAACTACACGGAGGGACCTGACGAATGACCTGCAGCGCTGGGACCAAAGTAACAAAGGCTACACACTACGCAGAGAGGGACTCAAATCCTGCAGTGCCAGGCGTGTCCCCCTGCTTCAGCCGGTACATGTCCAGGCCCGTCTGAAGCTTGCCAGAGAGCAGAGGATGATCCAGAGGAGGACTGGGAGAATATCATGTGGTCAGATGAAACCAAAGTACAACTTTTTGGTAAAAACACAACTTGTCGTGTTGCATCCAAGAACACCATACCTACTGTGAAGCACGGGGGTGGAAACATCATGCTGTGGGGCTGTTTTTGTTCAAAGGGGACAGGACGACTGATCCGTGTTAAGGGAAGAATGAACAGGGCCGTGCATCATGAGATTTTCAGCCAAAACCTCTTTCCATCAGTGAGAGCATTGAAGATGGAACGTGGCTGGGTCTTCCAGCATGACGACGATCCAAACACACGGCTCGGGCAACGAAGGAGTGGCTCCATAAAAAGCATTTCAAGGTCCTGGAGTGGCCTAGCCAGTCTCCTCCAGACCTCAACCCCATAGACAATTTGTGGAGGGAGTTGAAAGTCCGTGTTGCTCAGCGACAGCTTCCAAACGTCACTGCTCTGGAGGAGATCTGCACCAAGGAATGGACCAGAACATCAGCTACAGTGGAGAAGACACAGGAAACGTTCGACCTCTGTCATTGCCAACAAAGGTTATGTTACAAAGTATTTAGTTAAACTTTTGTTATTGACCAAATATTTATTTTCCTCCATAATTTACAAATAAATTCTTTTAAAAATCCTACGATGTGATTTCCTGGATTATTTTTCCTCATTTTGTCTCATAGCTGAAGTTTACCCATGATGAAAATTACACACGTCTCTCATCTTTCTAAGTAGGAGAACTTAGACAATCAGTGTCTGACTAAATACTTTTGTCCCACTGTGTCCTCAGCAAGGACAAACCTAAAGTCCAGATTGTGTTGTTAAAGGAGTTCATGGTTTAATCTGGAAATGTCACTAAAATTTGAAGAGCTCAACTTTTCAGAGCGTTCGTCTCTTGATTGAGTCACTCATCTGGACAAGAGTGTGATTTAAAACTAAAACATCTGTTTTTGTTTTTATAAAATGACTTCTCCACAACCTCCAGGGCCTTTCACAAAGGTCCTGTTTTCTGCCGAGTCCTTTTTAACGGAACGTGTCTGTAAAGCTCATATGAAGCAAGGAACTCACAACTCCAGCTTCTGGTTCGTGTCAACAGAACATTATCCAGTTGACAGTAGACGTGATCGTTATCTGAATGATCCTTCCTCAGAGACAGTTTACTGATCACGTGGAGCATTAAAGCTCCTTTATCGTTTTCAAACTGTTCCAGCATTCCTACCACCTCTCTCCCTCGTTTTCAGATACGTCAGTAAAACTCTGAAGCCATTTCTTTCGTACTTTGATCATTCTCATCTCGTACGTTTTCTTTTTGTGACAGTGGACCTGCCAGTTCTGCACCTACGTCAACACTCAGCCCTCTCTGGTGTGTGAGGTGTGCAGCCTGTCCTGTAAAGACTCGTCCGCAGGTTCTTTGCCTCAGTCCCTCCAGCAGGTGTCGTTTGCTGCTAAGGATCAGCCTCAAGCGAAGCCCCAAATCAACGTGGAGCTGAAGAGGCAGAAGACGATGAGGGACGACGGGCTCAAGCTCATCCACCAGATAAGAGTGAGAACTTCTCAGAGCCACACCTGCAGTGACACTTCAGAAGCACAACAGACTAAAAGAGCTTGAGATCATCTGAAGGAAAATGTGCTGAGCTGAGTCAGCTGAACCTTCAGTGACTGTTCTGGTTGTAGAACGATGTCTAGAGGTGCTCGTGTTGGAATACACACTCAACGACAGAAGATTTTTAATTGGTATACGTCATATTTTCACATGGGGTTGCACAGATTTTAGTTTACACATGAAGACCAGTCAGGAGGACCTGCCCCGCTGCGCCTGAAGCTTGTTTTTATACCTTTATCAGCTCAGCCGAGCTCACGGGCTCGCAGGCGTCCTTGAAGCAACATCTGCAGCCTCAGATCAGCTCCAGCTCTCTGATGGTTAAAAACATCCATGAAACCTTGACCAGAAATCCCCTAACCGCTTGAAACTAATCATTATTTTATTATTCTATATATTTTTTTGTCTTACGGTGACATTATGAGAAGTTAAGTCGCAGCATAACTTTAAGCTAAATGTAATAAACTAGTTAACGTCCAGTAAGACTTTTGGTTCAGTGGTTCTGATTAATCACGTTTGTTGGTTAAGTTACAGTCACAACTTCTAAATGTGCTGTAAGGTTGCTTTGATTAATGATAAATTATTGAGGATTAATCTACAGACTTGTTTCTTAATAAACTCAGAAATGATTAAAAGTAACCATGAACCCTCAAAGACAGCCGTCCATATTTCAGTAAAGGACTAACAACCTTTGAAGGAAGACGCATCGTCAACTAAAATCATCTTTAGCAGGGAACGGGTGGAGCTGTAGCGGTTTTGGTCACACCGCTATAAATAACACTCAGCATCAAATTATTCACCCCCGGGATGTTTTCTGCTTTTATTGCTGCCTGAAATCAAATCGTGGTCATTAGAAATGAACTTTATTTACAAAGAAAAAAATAATACCTTCAATGTCCAAATGGAACCACACTTTTACACAGTAACACCAGCTAAAATAATGTGTAAAACAAGTACAAACATTTTGTGGGACTGAACAAAAACGAGAAATGTTTGTTTCTTTTGTCCAGAAAGTAACTTAGGGCAACATTTTAAATGTTTACTTTGAACTAATCCCTTCTGTGTTTGTGGGTGAAGGCACTCATTTGAAGGCTGAACACTGAGCGTGCACCGTGTCTTGTTGGCAGGAGGCAGAGAAGCGAGGCATCAGTCCGGAGGAGGTGTACGCAGCCATCTGCATGTGTGGTGGGAGCAACCCCTGCGACTGGCTGACGTCAGAGCTGCCTCACCTGCTGGACGAGATCTGCGCCATGGCTGCCTCCGTCCAGCTGACACCGACCGTCGTCCACGGAGATGGAGCAAACCCAGAGCAGAACGCTGCAGGAGGAGGAGTGAAGCTGTCCAGAGCCGAGGCCAAACTGGCCTGGCTGGCCGCAGGAGGAGACACAGAAAAAGCCGTGAGACAGCTGCTGAGGGACAGACAGGCCAAGGTAAGAACATGAAACCAGTTAACGGGTCACCCTCCGACCTTCTATTGGGAGAGCAGATCACCAGTCCTTCCAGTAGACCCACAAACTAACAGTTTGGAGGGTGAACTGACCTTTTGGGGTCTCAATGTTCAGTTCAGTTTATTTATAAAGCACCAAATCACAAGAGAAGTCGTGTCAAGTCAAAGTTTATTTATATTTACACGTTTACATCGACCACAGTGCTTCACAAGAATTACATCATAGACACAAATATGATCAAAGAAATAAAACTGAGTTAATAAAAATAAAAGTATGATTTAAAATTTGCAGTAAAATACCAATAAAATAATAGTACTAATAAAACCAAGACGTACTTTATTTCAGTTGAAGTGAAGTTGAAGTCCAGGGAGAACAGATGTGGAGAACAGATGTGTTTTCAGTCTGGACTGATCTAGTGACGGAGATCTGAACAGACGGAGGGAGGCTGGTCCACAGGCTGGCTGCTGCCACCGAGAAGACTCCATCTCCTCTGGTCTTCACCCTCGCTTTAGGGACGGTCATCTGACCTGCAGGCTCTGGACGGGGTGAAGGGCTGCGGCAGCTCGCTTACGTAAGATGGGCCCATGGAGTTTAAACACTTAAAAACAATCAATAAACTTTAAATTTCTCCTGAAAAGCAACAGGGAGCCAGTGAAGGGAGTGTGAAACAGGCTCATAGGTTTGTCCTCCGTGTTTTCATCAACAGACGAGCTGCAGGGAGCTCTGGTCCAACCTTAAATACAAAGATTACAATAATTAAATGTGATGTAATAAATGTGTGGCTAGCCCTCTCACGATCAGGCCGAGGAAGATGAGGTTTCATCTTTGAAAGGGTCCTCAGCTGGAAGAAACTGGCTACATACTGTACTCACAAAAGCCAAGTAGTAAAGTTCTGTATGTGAGGAAGCCAGGAGATGTGCTGAATCTTCACTTCGTCACAGTCTCCCATCCTGAACAAGCTCAACGGCAACAGTGGAAAGAAAAACTCCCTTTTAACAGGAAGAAGCCTCCAGCAGAACCAGGCTCAGGACGAGCGGCCGTCTGCTTTGACCGGCTGGTTGAGAGGACGGGAAGGAGGAAGAGACACAGAATGACACGTCCAGGTGAACTTTCTATTGGAAGAAAGACCAAAAACACACGTCAAGATATAAATAGTTACAAATACAGACATGTTGAGCAGAGTGAGGAACCGTGGTCAGTTCGTCCTCCAGCAGTCCAAGAACAAACGTGTGTTTCTGAGTGGCAGGGCTGTACAAACCTTTGACCTGGTAAAAACTCACCTTATCTAAAGAAAGGACATTTTAATCTGAAGGCAGGAAATTCAGTTGTACTGGAAAATCTTCAACACAGTATATTACAGGGACTGTTGGGGGAGTTGCATGTAAGTACATGAACGTTATAAATTTTTAATTTCCTAATTAGACACCGAAGCGTCACGTTGAAACGTTGAGTTCTGTAAAATCTCCATCCTGCTCTCACGTTCAGTTTCAGAATAAAACAATCACAAAACAAAGATATACAGATTGTAAAATGTCACAGTAAAGACCTTACATTTGGGGGCAGGAGTTCTGTATTTTAAATTTTCCCCAGCAGAGTTCACTCCTAGTGTTTCTCTGATAAATGTTCTCTGGAGCACGACATCACATGAACTCGAACTTCTCTGGTTCGGCTTCACGTTTGTTCACGTTTAAATCTTGCACTAAGTTCTTTAACCCTCAGTGGACCACGAGCTCTGACAGATCATCCTCGCGTTAAAGGTTTTACAACTTCATTCAGGGTGTTTCCTTGAAACTCTGTGTTTTTAGAGATCATTTCTTGCACAATCACTACGAGCCGTTTTCTCCTCGTGTTGTGTTCAGATGAAGGAGCTCCGCTCTCTGGGCTTCCAGGACCTCTTTCAGTGTGATGAAGCTCTGCACCAGAGCGGGGGGGAGGTGAAAGGAGCTCTGTCTCTGCTCCAGCGCCCTCTCATGGAGCCGTTCCACCAGCACATCTGGATAGATCAGCCCGAGCCACCGATCGATCCCAAACACGTGGACAAACAGGTCAGACGGCGCTGCACATCCACAGGTTTAGAGTTCTGTCGCGAGCGCAGCGTAAACTGGTGTTTGTGCTCGTTTCAGAGGACGTGCAGACGACTGCTGGCGTTGTACAGCCTGCCCAGCTGGGGGCGCTGTGAGCTCGTCCTGTCTCTGCTCCAGGAGCCAGATGTCTCCTGCTCTCTGGAGGACGTGGTGCAGGCCGTGAAGGAGTCTCATGACAAGGACTTCATCAGACGTCTCCTGAACAACGAGTGTCCCTGCTGTCTGAGCATTTTCCCTCGCAGCAAGGTGAGGCGGAGACGACTCGAACGCCAAACACATCTTCTAGTCCTGGACTCTAACTGGACACCTTGAAACACTGAAAACATTTACAGCTGCCGTTTTATATTATTTTATAAGAAAGAAAGTAATTTTGAGCTGGGATGTAATCAACTGAGGATAAAATTAAAATAGTACCACTTTACAATATGGCTCCCCTTATAGATACTAATAGATATGTTATTAATTCCTCTATAAACATGTTATAAATCATTAATAACTGCTTATTACACATTAATTAAGGGTGACAGAGACAAAACTGACCAGTTTGTTTACAAATCTGTTCACCTATGTATTTCATCTAGAGTTGTTATATTAAACATAAGTTATAAGTTACTACCTTGTAAACACAATAAGAATTTGTAAACCTATTTTTTAGGATATAAATATTAGTTGTAGATATTTATAATGCAGTGATAAAGTGTAATTTTATATGCTAAAGAAATAGGTTTACAAATGTTTATTGTGCTCACAAGGTAGTAACTTAGTCTGAAATGTTTAATTTAACAACTCTATGAAATATATATGTTTAGTTTAGTTTATTATTTTTTGAATATGTAAAAAGAAAAAACAAATATATATAGCATAAAGCATAATGTAACTACAACAACTAATGAATAATATTATTGTATATTATATCCAGCAATAATCACATGTTTATATGATAATTTGAACAGTTTTATGTTTGGACATTGTTTAAGTTCAGTATTCAAATTATTCCACAGTTTGACTCCACTTCAAAAAAAAAAAACTTTATTAATCCCAGAGGGAAATTAAATAAATGATACTGATACAAAGCTGTTACAACTCTGGGCCTCTATTTAACTCTGGGCGCTCTATTTCATGCTAGTTCAACTCTGGGCGCACTATTTAAATGGTACCTTACTGATACACAAAAGTTTTTTCTAGTAGTTCTAATTTTGCATATTTTAAACTGTGATTCCCTTAAAGTATAAATTTGCTCCTTAATTTTAAACAGGTTTTGAATGTTTTCTGGTAATTGTCTATTTTTTGCTTTGAAAACAATTAGAGCTGTCTGTAGTTTCACTATGTCAATGAACTTTAATCATTTAGATTTTACAAATAGTGTATTAGTGCTTTCTAAATATTCCACCATATGGATTACTCTTATTGCTCTTTTTTGTAGTATTGTTAATGCCTGTAGTGTAGTTTTGTAATTATTGCCCCAGATTTCTGCACAATAGCTTAAATAAGATTAGTGAACAGTAATTTGTCTCACTATTTGGCAACAAACTGGTCAGTTTTGTCTGTCACGCTTAATTAATGCATAATAAGCGGTTATTAATGATTTATAAAGTGTTTATAGAGGAATTAATAAGGGGAGCCTTATTGTAAAGTGGTACCTAAAAAATAAAGTACACAAATGTCTGAACTAAAGGACAGAATGAATGAAAACAAAACAGGTAAATAAATGTGGGTTCATGTTTGTTTAAATGAGAAACGATGTTTAAAACTGTTGATTGATGAAGTAATGGAAAACAGGAAGACGTGAACAGATAAAAACCATGTGAGCAAAGTTTAACAAACAGCTGAAGACTGGCTCAGGTTTAATTTAATTCATTTTTTAATCCCGTATCATTTCTTACAGCAAACATGAATTCATAAAAAGCTCACGTGTTTTACAAGATTCCTGGTTTTCTTTGCAAATAAATTACGGCGGATTTTTAAAAATGATTATTAAATATGATTTTATGTTTGTTTAAAGGTAGATTTGGCATCTTAAAATAACACCATGCAGCTTTATAAGAAGTAAATGTTTCTTGTATTTGTGGAGCATTTGTTAAGATAAATATTTAAATTGAATTATTAGTGAGCTTGTCACAAAGTTGAACCATAAGATAAGTCAGATGCTTTATATATATATATATATATATATATATAAACTGTAAAATAAATGAGAGTTAAAGTAGATTTGTGTCTGTGCTACAACTGTTTTGAATGTGGAAATGAGATGATTTCAGACCGATGGTGGCAGTAAACCAGTATATTTCCAGTATAAAATGTGTTTTGTGTAAAGGAGAGTCGTTGGACATTTTAAGTGCAGCTGCGGTTTGTTTCGCTCGCTGCGCTGCAGATGCAGTCTCTGACGTCCTGCCAGTGCTCGGTCTGCCACGACTGCTTCAGAGACCACTTCACCATCGCCATCAGAGACAAACACATCAGAGACATGGTGTGTCCCGTCTGCGGCGAGCCCGACATCAACGACCCAGAACAGCTGGACAGCTACTTCTCCACGCTGGACATCCAGGTGAACGGGGACACGCGCCGAAACATGACCACACGCAGTTTGTCACGTGCACGATTTTAACGGGGGATCAGCTAAACTTGGTTTACAACAGGAGCTTATATGCAGCTTCTTTACATCACGAAGAACCGGACCAGATGATTGAATGAATCGTTTACCGCAATATCTTTGTAAAATTGATTAAACATTAATTAAAAGTTGCAATTTCAAACCGTGTCCATGCAACAACTCAAATCTACACGCAAGTGAAAGAGCCTGTTTGCTCCTTGAAGAGCTTTGAGCTGAAAATCTGGTTCATCTCTTGGTGACGCATAAGTTGAACTTTTTAAAATAATTCAGCAGTAGCTCCTTGTAAATCACTTTATTGGAGCTAAAACACTATTTTACGTGACATATTTGGTGTTTTTCATAGATGAACAGTGTTTTTAGGAGAGGCTGACTTTGTGAAGTTGTCTGTTTTGTTTTGAAACAACTCCGTCTCATCATTAAGTTTAGGAACCTTTTTATGTTTGAACAATTCTCAGGTCAGAGTTAAGTATCTTCAACTAAAAGAAAAGTTTGCTTTTAAAATAGCTTGGACTAAAAACAAGTGAGAAGGCAGCCAAAGTTTCAAGGCAAACATTAAGAGATCTTCAGGAAGCTGATGAACAGGACGACGTGTAGAGAACTTTTAGAAAAGAGCTGAAATAATAAACTTTTAGAAGGAAAACCAAGTTCATGTTTGTGGAAGTGCAGTGAACGCAGGAGAGCTGTCGCAGTGAGATGCTGTTGGTTGTCTTGTAGCTGCGGGACTGCCTGGAGATGGACGTGTACGACCTGTTTCACAAGAAGCTGATGGAGCACACGCTCATGAAAGACCCCAAGTTCCTTTGGTGTTACCATGTGAGTTTTTACAAACGTCTCAAAATGAGTTTATTTTTAATGTGCATCTCCGTCATCCTTCATTTCCTCATCCACCTTTAATTTGGATGCTTTGTTATCATTTGAATCTGTTTTTAAGCCTGAGTTCTGTCGTTTAAAACTTCAAAAACTGAATGTTTTGTATTTTTTGCAGATTGTAAATGTTGATAAAATGTTCCTGTTTTGGCTTTTTTTTTAAGTTAAATCAAAACTGTATAACTTTCTCAATTTCACGACAGAATAGTTTTGTCATTGTTTTGGAGAAACTTTCTTTTAAAAAAAAATCTAAATCTTGTTTTGATGATCAAACCTTCCTTTTTAATTAAATCACAACAAAATCAGACAAATATTTAAATAGATAAACATTTTGTGACCAAGTGACTAGTGAGGCGTGAGGTCAGGTTTTAAGAATGAAGACCTGTTTTTATGTGTATGACTTGTAATGTACTTTAGGCTGTTCAGTTTTTGTTGTTGTTTTAGTTTTATGTTGTTGTTGTTGTTCCACCTCTTCCCACATTAGGTTTGCAAGTTGCACGTTTTCTCAAGTTTATTAAGAAATGTGTGATTTTCTTTTCAAATACAGTAGTTCCTCATTTATTGTGGGTGTTAGGTTCCAGCCCCGCTCGCGATAAGTGGAAAAACTGCCAAGTAAGGGTAGTAGTGTATATATATATATATATATATATATATATATAAGAGCACATCATGTCATGATCAGCTCTCTGCGCCTCCTGCCAGCCTCTCTCCTCCACTGCAGTCACACTCTTCACCTCCCAGTCTCCCTCCTTCTGTGTAAATAAGCCATTTAAATTTAAATAAACAATCCATGGAGCATGGATTGTTTATTTAAAATATTTAAAGTATTTTAAAGTATAGTAAAGTATTTAAATTGTAGAGAAGAGAAGTGCAGCAGGACATCATAGGGTTAACCCTTCATGCAACATGGAGCAGAAATTACAATTACACTGTAACAATGGAACATGAAGTTCTAAAACAATTAAAAATAACTTTGAACGCTTTTTATATTTTGTGATTATGATGATTTTTACGATGTGACATACTTTGAATTTTAAGTTGGAAGACGAAAGTCGATCGGTGCATCTGGACACCAAATTAACCTTCACGAAGCTGCAGCAGCTCCAAGGAGAAATGGATATTTTTAGGATTTAAACTTTAACTGGAGAAATTGCATTTCCTGCGAAAATGCAGTGTGAAGGTTTTGTTGCTGAAGAACTTGCTGAAAAACAGCTGAAAGTAGGTAAAAACAGCTGAAATGAGTTGGTAGAAGCAGAAAGAACACATATTTGCTGAATTTGAAATGAGAAATCCTGATCAGAAAAATTAGTAAATTAGCTAAAGAAAGGCTGAAATTATCAATAATAATAATAATAATAATAATAATGTCATCACAATGTCAGCACTGTATGTTTCCATACAATGGCAAAATTAGTCTCTGCACTTAACCCATCCACCACCAGGTGGTGCAGTGGGCACAATAAGGGGCTGAAACAGCAGAAATAAGCTTAAATTACCAGAATAAGGTGGAGAGAGAGCACACTTGTGCCCAGTTAGGCTGAAAGACAGAAATGTGCAGATAAAGGTAGAAATTATCTGGAAAAAAAACTGAAATTTACTCAAATTTATTTAAAACAAATCCATTTTAAACAAGTAATCCATGCTGTATGGATTGTTTGTTTAAAATATTACAGTATTTCAATTTAAATTGTTTATTTACACAAAAGGAGGGAGATTGGGAGGTGAGTGTGGTTGCAGTGGAGAAGTGGGCGTGGCAGAGAGCGGAGGTCATGACACGGTGATTTAGCACCTGCTAACTCATTTAAAATAGTATATTTTAAATAAACAATCCATGCCGCTCGTGTGGCTCGTCCATCAATCAGCCAGCTGTGCGTCATATCCAATCTTATTTTGAAAAACCACAAAAGAGCGTGTCTGTGAACGTCAAACCGTAAAGTGGCGAGGGACTACTGTATTGTTTGTTTTTAAACGTCCTTTTTTTGTTTGTAACTGCTGCGGACAGTTAATCTTGCGTAAAGTAAAACTATATGAATTTGTGTTTGCCTGAAAATTTAAAGCGATGGCAGCATAAAGGCTGAGAAGTGTTTGTCCTCCTCCTCCTCAGTGCACCAATGGGTTTATCAACGATGGGAACCAGCTCAAGGTCACCTGCCTTATGTGCCGCAAGAGTTTCTGCGCTCAGTGCAAGAAACCTGTGAGTGTAATCCCTGAGCTTCCAGGGCGTGTGGGAGGTGCTCAGTTCTCCTGCAGTAGATTATCATCAGGTGCTTGGCCTTGGGCTCGGGCGCCTCCTCACAGCAGGAACGTCTCCCCTCATTAACTCTGTTTGTGTCTCAGTGGGAGCCTCAGCACCAGGACGTGTCCTGTGAACAGTTCCAGCTGTGGAAGAGGGAGAACGACCCGGAATACCAGAGACAAGGCCTGGCAGGTTATCTGAGGGACAACGGCATCAGTAAGACACAACCACGAGTTGCACTTCCTGTTCTTGTCCTTGAGCGGTCGGCCTCACTCCTCAAACGGTTTCTGTGTTTGAACTCCTCACCGAGCAGGTGGAGGCTCGAGTTGATCCAGCAGCCACAAACTGCACCTCCAAAGTTTAATAGATTTATTTATTAAGTTCAAAGTAAGCCACTTTCTCTGCAGGATGTTAACAGGTACAAAGACAAGCCCATGAAATGAACTCTTAAAACTGCTCTGACGTCAGTTTTATTTTGGTCTTATTTTCAGTTCAGTGGCTTTTTCTACTTTCTGTTTTCTTTTCCATCTGAACAATTAAACTGAATGGAGTAATTAGACCACAGTCCTTTGCAACATCTTATGACTTTCATACAAACACGTGGAGGAAACGTCTGTTGCCGTATTCAGAACGAGTATTGCATTGTACTATTTTCATGAGCCTGATGAAGCAGCTGGCGGCACCATGAACTGAGACACACAAACATTAAAATGTAACGATCCTTTCAAAAAAGCTCAATGCAGACAGGAACAGGTTGAACCAGTTACGTGTTCACTTTTGTCATAATTGTAAGCTCCGCCCCCACAATCAACCCTGACGAGGATGTTTGTGACTTCCAGCTCCTTTGGTTAAAAGTGGCTCACATTTTAAATGTATTTTTCTGTGCACGTGTTCTCAGCGTTGAGTCTTTTGTTGTACGATTCAGAAAGCGTCAGTGTCTCAACAAGTCAAAGGGGCGGGTACTTGTTTTCATCAAGTCTGATTGACACGTCAGACTGAAATATCACAAAAGAGGAAGAAATGAATATTTCTGGATGCAGATTAGGGAAAATAATAATAATAAATACATATATATATATATATATATATATATATATATATAACAAACTTGAAACCATTTAAAACTGAAATGACTCAGTTTGTCCTGAATGCAACTCATTGCTCGTTGTTTTGTTTTTTTACTAACTTAATTGTTTGCATAAGTTTCCTGAATAAAGTCATATATATAAACGTGTTTGTATATAAACGGCTGCAGGTGCTCGGTGGTCGGTGCCACGGTCTTGTTCACCTGAAGCTGCAGGTTTGAGCCCAGGTTGTGTCAGGAAGAGCATCCAGCGTAAAACAGTTGACAAATCTTAGTTTGCTCGTTGTGGCAGAGAGCAGCCAAAAGGGAAACGACAAAATATACGTTTGGATCAACTAGCCTGGTACTATGTTCATTAAAAATCTGTTGCGTTAGATTCAGGCTCCCTCTTTGCAGTTCCAGACTGAAGTGCAACAAACTGCACAAGTGATTGAAAGGAGTGAAGCTGGTTTGTTATGAAACAAGACGTGGTGAAACCGTGTCAGTGTTGCTGAAGAGCTTTTCTTTTGATGAAACACTTGACTGGAACTGCTGCTGAAGTTGCTGATTCTGAAAATGAAAATGTGTATAAATTAATTTGTTAAATGGGTTTACCTGCTGACGGCTAATGGGTCTTTACTTCAGGTTAACTGATGTTTTAATTTGCAAGAGCAATCCGAGTTTATAAAGAGGTTCAGCCATCGCTGATTCGTTCTTAAACATCTGGGACTGATGTGTGCACTCCTGTCCCCTTGCAGCGTGCCCTCAGTGTAACTTCCAGTACGCTCTGACGAAAGGCGGCTGCATGCACTTCAGCTGCTCGCAGTGCAGGTACGAGTTCTGCAGCGGCTGCAACAACCCGTACTACAAGGTGGGTTTGATGTGGAAAGGTGGCAGCTGCGACACAATCCGTTAATGCGTGCGATGCGATGTACATGCAGTCTGGGGCCACACCTAACAAATGTTGAATCTGCCTGATTCAGCCAGCCTGTAACTGGGACACTAAACCTGAACAAGCCAGTGAATCAACAATTCATCCAACAAACCGTCCACATCCATGCTCAATACTCAAATTTAGAACAAAGTAAACCAACAAATTCTTCATTTTAGGAACTATGAACTTAATTCTTCCACACTAGAATAACTTTAGTTTAACACAATTTAAGTTTTCTGCCTCTGATGCACAAAGTAGCACTACAGAGACCTGAAACCACGACTGTCTCTACCAACACCACTAACATCGATTATAAACAAATAGTGAGAACAGCCTTTATCTATTTTAATCCCTTTAAGATGACTTGTATCTCTTGTAACAATTACCACAGAAATATTCTAATAGGAATACATTTTAAATCTGACATTATGTTTGGAGATCGTCAGTGTGGGACCCCAGCCCCAGATTATCAGTGGGCTCAGAAAAGCTGCGTCATTAAAATATGTTTTGGGTGCTTTATTCAAATACTGTGAAGGAGACTGACAGGCTGTGTTTGTTTCACAGGGAGACACATTTCCTTTCAGACTTCACTTAAAACCTTGTCTTTTTGCCATCCCCTCAACGTGCGTGTCTTGGTTTTGTAATAACTTTGTTGCAGGCTTGTTGTAAAACACCTCGATGCAAGTACAACGGCCTGCATGCTCATCACCCCCGAGACTGTCTCTTCTACCTCAGAGACTGGGACGCAGATAAGCTGCAACAACTCCTGCAGGTAAAACAGCAAGTTTGTTTGCGTCTCTTCGTTTATGGTTAATGAAGTCGTAAAGATCAGATTGTAAAGCAGCTGGGATCATGTTAAAGCATTTGTTTTCATTAGGCTGTAACTTCTTACACTGGGTCTTGACAAGAATACAGGTGCTGGTCATAAAATTAGAATATCATGGAAAAACTTATTTCAATAATTCCATTCAAAAAATAAAACGTGTATATTATATTCATTCATTACACACAGACTGATATATTTCAAATGTTTATTTCTTTTAATGTTGATGATTATAACTGACAACTAATGAAAACCCCAAATTCAGTATCTCAGAAAATTAGAAAATTGTGAAAAGGTTCAGTATTTAAGACACCTGGTGCCACACTCTAATCAGCTAATTAACTCAAAACACCTGCAAAGACCTTTAACTGGTCTCAGTCTAGTTCTGTAGCTACACAATCATGGGGAAGACTGCTGACTGGACAGTTGTCCAAAAGACGACCATTGACCTTTGCACAAGGAGGGCAAGACACAAAAGGTCATTGCTAAAGGGGCTGGCTGTTCATAGAGCTCTGTGTCCAAGCACATTAATAGAGAGGTGAAGGGAAGGAAACGATGTGGTAGAAAAAAGTGTATAAGCAACAGGGATAACTGCACCCTGGAGAAGATGGTGAAACAGAACCCATTCCAAAATGTGGGGGAGATTCACAAAGAGTGGACTGCAGCTGGAGTCAGTGTCTCAGGAACCACCACGCACAGACGAATGCAAGACATGGGTTTCAGCTGTCGCATTCCTTGTGTCAAGCCACTCTTGAACAAGAGACTGCGTCAGAAGCGTCTCGCCTGGGACTGCTGCTGAGTGGTCCAAAGTTCTGTTCTCTGATTAAAGTACATTTAACATTTACTTTGGAAGTCAAGGTCCCAGAGCCTGGAGGAAGAGAATGAGTTTCACTTTTTGAATGGAATTACTGAAATAAATCAACTTTTTCATGATATTCTTATTTTATGACCAACACATGTATAGAAGTGTGAAGTTTCTTCTCATTTCCTGCTTGTTGTTTCTGTCCTCAGAGGAACGGTGTGGACTTCAACACAGACCCTTCCAGTGGAGCCCAAGCTGGTGATTATTCACAGCGTTCAGGAAACAACCCAGACTCTGATTCATCTGCTTCCTTTAGTGTCCTCAAACAGACATTAGATGTTTCATAAGCCTTCACATATCGTCCCAGACTGTAATATTTTCTCTTTGTGCCAGATGCATGTGGCGTGATGGAGCAGAAAGATGAAGGCGGTCAGCAGGTGGACTCTCCGTGTGGCCTCCAGACGCAGCCGGGACAGGCCGGACTCTGCAAGTGAGTGAATCACACAGGAGCAACACGAGGCTTAAAACATAAACCTGATCCTGAAGACGAGTCAATGGAGACCTGGATATACAGTAGAATGCCATTCAGTAAAGTTAGCAATCTAAGAAAACCAGGGAACTTCATAAGTAAGTAAAGTGCATGTGTTGTCATCAGTGTATGTTCCAGTGCAATGACGACTTTAGTTCTCTGCATTTATCCATCACACCTGAGATACACCAGGTGGAGCAGTGGGCAGATATGTTAAAACTTATTTGGCCAATAACCGATACCAATATTTTTTCCCTAGACCTACTTACAGAGTCTACATATTGTTCTCTGCTGTGGAATTAAAACATTACATTATTCTGCACGGTCTTTGTCAGTTTGTCCTGCTACCAAATGCAGATGCCAAAAAGGGGCTGAAAATGATGTAAAACTATATAAATATATAACATATATTTAAAAAACGGCACCTTTTATATCGGTGAGTAATTTTGATGGAATGTCCGATATTTAACTTTATTGCTAATATCGACCGATACAGACACCATGCCGATAATATTGTGCAGCCCTACACACAATGGTCCTGATCGAGATTTGCATTAAAATGTTCCGGTGAGCTCCGGAGAAAACACCAGACCTCCAAGCAACGCCTCCCCGCTCGAGAGGCCTCATGGACCAGGAAGCAGTGCTCAGATTGACGGATGAGGCTGGAAGTCCGTTTCTGGTCCAATTCCCGGTCGGTTCCGTACGGCTCTCTGCATCCACTGAGCGCCAAAGTCACTATGAATAAGGACCAAACTTTTTCAGATTTCTCCTCCATTTCAGCAGAAAGCAATGGCTGGAAGCACTGTTGGCTTCTGGGAGATGTAGTCCTTTTGAGTGGTGATACAGTGTAGGCTTATTTAGAGAAAACTACAAAATGGCGGTGCCTGTCCGACGTTTTTTTTCTGTCAACTTTTTACTGTGTACGTATTGTCCCAATCATGTGAGTAATATTAAAGTTGACAATCGTGTCGTGTAAATTCATTTATTTATCTTTTTGTGTACAATCTTACTTTGAAAAACCACAAAAGAGCGAGTCCGCGAAACTCGAACCGCTAAGTAGCGAAGGACCCCTTTTAGAAAGTATGGAACAAGATGAGAGACCTGGGCTCCTCATATGAGGACTTTGATTTCTTTAGAGAACCTCTTATCATAGAAACCTGAAATATTGTTTTTAGAATCGTTGGGACCTTCTGACCCCAATTTGCAAAGAAAAATGTAAAATGCAAAAATACACCTACTGTCTTCATATGAGGCAGTTTTTCCTAAAACGACTCCCTGTACCATGACTGGGTCGAGTTATTTAACTTATTAGCTCCTACTACTCCCAGGTACCTTGGAGAAGTAGAACCAAACAAAAGCTGAACACTGACACAGAACGACGCTGCTGAAAAACATCAAGCTCTGTTCTGTGGTTTTTGCTCTTTATCACAGGAGTTTGGTTCAATGTGTCTTGTTTGTTTGTTAAAACGGATTAAAGTATAAATCTTATATTTGTTTTAAACTCAAAGCGTGATGTGCAGCCCAAAGACGACAGAAGAGCCAGAGGTAAATGAAGAACTGAAATTAAAAGCTGCAGGTTCACCTGATAGTCCTCAGATATGTCCTCTGTTTCTGCCAGATCAAATGAAAGCTCGAGTCCCTCTGCTTGTTGTGCTGTTTGTTTTTGTGCACAGACTCTGACGTTCTGCAGCAGTTCTAGTTCTGTTGCACTGATCACGATCTATAAAAAGCCTGAACTGACGATTCCGATTTTGTTTTCTAAGCGACGCCGTCAGGTGCTATGAGGTCACGATGCACCTTCAAGTTACAAATTTTACTTGAACAATATCCGAGAAACGATACAAACTTGTTTTAACCGGCCATGAGGCGGAGCTCTGAAATATAAATGAAGTTTAGACAATTGTTAAAACCACAAAAAATGGGTCAAATCAGTTTTTCGTGTATCGGCCGATCTCCCAAATTGAAGGAAATCAGGGCCGATAAATCGTCCAGCTGATTTATCGGTGCACCCGTAGTGATTGAATTGAAATGATTGGTTGTTGTCCTTCAAGCATGAACATCTGGCACAGCTTCTCTTCACTCCTTCCAGGAAAAAAAACCTGCTCCAATATTTCAACATGCGTTGAGAAACTTTACTAAAAATAAACCGTTTGTAAAAGGAACGTAGCTCTTCAAGTCATTTTTGTTGTGCAGCTGTAGTTTCTAACGTGTCACGTTTAGCAGGTGAGATGTAAAAACCCTCTGCGTGTGTCTGCAGTAAGCACTACAAGGAGTACCTGGTGAGCCTCATAAACGCTCACACTCTGGACCCGGCCGTGCTTTACGAACCCAACGACCTGATCATAGTGTGCCAGCGATACCTGGGGGACGTGCAGAGAGGAGACCCGGAGGACGAGAACGCCTTCAGCGCTCGCTTACTAAAGGTGAGACCCGGCTGTGCTCCCATGCGGTTTGTATGTCCGAGCTAAAGCTAACGCTGTGTTCCTTCACAGAAACTGATGGAGTTACCTCTTGGAGAAAAGGTTCCAAGAAACAAATAGATTCATCAAAAGAACATCACCTGACAGCAGAGCTTGAACTTTGTCAGTAAAATGATCTTTTCCTGTTTTATTGTCTGCGAATGATTCAGACCAGAAGAAGAAACACGTTTCTGTGGTGGCTTTGTGTTTAAATGTTTGATTTTTCCTTCTACGTCCTCACAACGGAGGGTTTTCTGGTTCTTGTGTGAAAGAACGTGTTCCACGTTTTATTTCACGTTTTTCTACCGTTATTCCCACAGTTCTAAGCTTTAAACTTTTAGTCGTTGGTGGCGTGAAGTTTTTCTCCTGCAGGGATGTGACAGCTTGATGATTGTGTCATGCAGTCCAGCGATGAACGTGTGTCCAGCGGTGGATGTTGTTAAAATCAGAGAAATGAACAAGTGGCTCTAAATGTTTGAACGGCTTGAAATCTGCTCAATAAACGATTAAATAAACAAACGTGTTGTTTTTGTCACGCCTCGTGTCCGTGTTCTGCTGACTGAACATTAAAACTGTAGAGAGCTGAAGGTAGTCGTGACGAGCCACGCTGCTCTTGTAGAAGATCACAGCTGGAGAGATGAACCAAATCCCAGCTGATGATGTCATCAGTCAGGAGCTGACCCCATGCAGACCTGCTGGGACTGCTTATGGACCTGTGCAGCATCAGGCTGATCCCAAGCCAACCTTTTAGAAATGCATATGTTGAGCATATTCTAACCCACCCTGGACTAACAGGGACCAGCAAGACCCAAGACCATGAATCCTCCAGCTGGGTTCCTTCTGGGAGGCATGAAGATATAAATCAAAGCTATTCAACTAACAAAAAGGGTTCAATCTTGTCGTCTGGACCAGTTTCTTTGAGAAACGGTTCGTCCCCCATCCAGAGGACTTCCTCAGTCTGTGGCCTGCCAACCAGATTTGTCCCATAAGTACAGATAGGGCAGATCTGGTTGGCAAGCCATAGACTGAGGAAGTCCTCTGGATGGGGGACAAAACGTTTCTCAAAGAAACTGGTCCAGATGAAAAGATTTTTGTTATGATTGAGCTCACAACCCCTTTTTTTTTTTTTTTTTTTGCTATTCAACTAAATAACTCATGGGGCCACACGTCCAGCAGTTGTTGTCAGTAAGTTTGTTTTACGGTTTAAAAAAGTTAATTTTATTTAAAAATGGACCCATTGGAGAACCAAACTGAGCTCCTTCGTGGACCTGGTTTGGCCCTCGGGCCCTGAACAGCCCTGATGTAAATCCTGGGGTCTGGCAGTTCAAACCATGAGAGTCAGAGACTTGACAAGGATCTGAAGCAGATGAGAGACTTTTCTGTGCTTCATCATGAGGAGGTGCCTACATTTGATCTGTTTGCATAATGAGCAGGAGATAAATCCCAAACTTCTGCTGCATAGTAAGGTCCTGTGGACTTTCAGCTGTGGATTATACTTTTAGGACTCTTGCATTTATACCAGCTACTGTTAAATGTAGTTGGCTTGTTATAATTTTAGTCAAAATATGTTGCAAAAGTGACCTTTCAATAAAGTTTGCCTGCGCACACTCTTGCATCTGTGGTAAATTTTGTCTCCGTTTTTAATCTGCTGGTTCTGTTGGTGCTTGAAAAGCAGTTTGAGTCAAAATAGGGAGTCTTACCCCGAGGTCGAGGGTCTACTGTGGACCCTGCTTTCTTGTTCCCCTCAGCCTGAGAGGAGGAACTTCCTGCAGCTGCGTCCTTCAAGCAGCCTTCTGTGCCGAGTCGGCATTATTGCAGCTGTTCAGCTCCTTGTATTCAAGCAGTTATTAAACCTAATCCGCTTGTCTGATAAATTAGGGGGTTCGTGGTAATCTGATTATTTAGCAACAGACTTTTACTGCAGAAAACATTCTCAGACGCTTAATGTAGCTGGAGTTACTTCATCTGTAGATTAAAGCTGTTTTTAATCGGAGTGGTGACCATGACGCCCCCACATCTCTGAGGAATGAAGCGCCTCCCTCAGAAAACTGGCAGCAACAAATACTTGGCCTCTTTGTGTTTTTCTGGCGTCAACGTGGGAGAATATGTGTGAAGCATGTTGTGGTTTAACTCTCACCGATCAGTACCTGAATCTAAAGAGTTTGTTTTGGGGACTTTTCATGTAAAATAGCACTTTTCTTTACTATTTGAACTTCTAATGTATTTAGTGTAAAACAGGTTAAACCTTCTTATCAGCTGGATTTCTCTACGTAACGTAAAAAACGTTTTGTATTAGCAGTAATTAAAGTAAATAGTCTGTTCAATATACACCATCCATCATCTTTACCCGCTTCTTCCTTTTCGGGTCACGAGGGTCCATCCAGCCATCACTGTAGGAGAGGTGGGGGACACCCTGGACAGGTCTCCAGTCCAACACAGGGACACAGAGACAAACAACCATTCACTCTCTTATACACCATTAAGTTATAATTACTTTTATTTTAGCTCCTTGTTGCTTTTTGAAAATGTGACATTATTTGCAACATGCCCAGCGTTTGTTGAGGAGATACCACCACAGAAGGTGGGTCATGATGAGCCATGCTGCTTTTGTAGAAGATCACACCTGGAGAGATGAACCAAGTCCCGAATGATGATGTCATCAGTCAGGAGCTGACCCCACGCAGAGCGATGAACCGTTTCCTCTCATGCCAGAGTTTTCAACTAAGATCATCATGATGAGAGCTGCTTGGGTCAAGTTTAATGATGTTATGTGTCCTGCAGGATGTCATGCTCAACGTATGTGATGTGAAAACTTGAGCACCAGCGCTCCAAAGTTTAGCTCAAAATCCAAAGTTTAGCTCAAAATCTGTAAAACTGACTGGAATATTGTCATTTTCATGTTTCCTGCAATGAGCTGCCTGTGGTGGCCAACTTCAACTGGGTGAGCTCCAAAAGGTAACCAGCCAGATGTTCATCCCATGATTATTTCCTGAAAGTTTCAATAAAGTTCATGAAATATTTTGCTAACAGGCAGACTAGGTTGATTCCATCACTTCTCATTCTGTGCAAAGATCATCCCTCCACCGCGAGTATTGCTCAGAGTATGTGTTGGGGCAGTACCACACCAACTTTGAGCTTAATATCAGCAGACATGACTGATAGACGTTTGTGTGTTTGCAAAACTTGGTTGTCTGTGGCAGCCATATTGAACCCTGTTGACTCTAAAGATATTTAACTCTGGTGATCTCCTGCATGTTTCAATAAAATTGGTCAAATGGTTCAGGAAATATTTTGCTAACACACACCTACACATAAAACCCTCATCGTTCACCATCACATTTTGGTGACAGACAACAATAACCTTTGACTCGGTTGTTTTGATCCAGTCTGTAGTCCACAGTGTCGGCCATTTAGTTATTATCCACTGCTATTTGTATCTTTATTTTTATTTGATGTTTTGTCATAGATAGATAGATGCATGTTCAAGACATCAAAGTTCATGCTCAATCATCCAGGTACAACATCCAATAATGCTCAGTCAGGTCTTCTGGACAGTTTCTTTTTTGTGGAAAGACGTTTCGCCCTCTATCCAGAGGACTTCATCAGTCTGAGCATTACTGGACTTTGTACCTGGATGACTGAGCATGAACTTTGAGTTCTTCAGATAATTTCTTTGAGAAAATGTTCTCCTCCGTGATGAATTTAAGCTGCTCAGATGAGACCTGGGGAGGACAGACAGACTGTCTTAGCGGAGCGCTACGTTACTGATGCTAGGTCAAAGTCTCTTATCCTGAAGCGAGCGGTCCTTGGCAACAATCTCCGCTCCCCGAC